TGGAAAAGGGCAAATATAGTGCCCATCTTTAAGAAAGGGAAGAAGGAGGATCCAGGGAACTACAGACCAGTCAGCCTCACCTCAGTCCCTGGAAAAGACATGGAGCAAGTCCTCAAGGATTCCATTTCTAAGCACTTGAAGGAAGAGAAAGTGATCAAGAACACTCAGCATGGATTCACCAGGGGAAAGTCATGCCTGACCAACCTGATTGCTTTCTATGATGAGATGACTGGCCCTGTGCACGCGGGGAGAGCAGTGGACATGATATACTTTGACTTTAGCAAGGCTTTTGATATACTCTCCCACAACATTCTTACAAGCAAGCTAAGGAAGTACAAGTAGGATGAATGGACTGTAAAGTGGACAGACAAACTGGATGGACTGTCGGGCTCAAAGGGTAGTAATCAATGGCTCAGTGTCTAGTTGGCAGCCCATATCAAGTGGAGCGCCCCAGGAGTCAGTGCTGGGGCTGGTTTTGTTCAATATCTTCATCAACCATCTAGAAGATGGGATGGAGTGCACCCTCAGCAAGTTTGTGAATGACACCAAGCTGGGGGGAGTAGTAGATATACTGGAGAGTAGTGCTAAGATTCAGAGAGACCTTAACAAATTGGAGGATTGGACCAAAAGAATTTTCATGAAGTTTAAGAAAGACAAGTGCAATGTCCTGCACTTGGGACAGAACAATCCCATGCACCTGTACAGGGTGGGGACTGACTGACTATGCAGCAGCTCTGAAGCAAAGGACCTTGGGGTTATAGTTGACAATAAGCTAGATACAAGCCAACAGTGCGCTGTTAGCCTGAAGAAGGCTAACAGCATACTGGGTTGCATTAGTAGGATTACTGCTGGCAGACTGAGGGAAGTGATTCTATTACCTTCTCCAGGTAAGGCCACATCTTACCAGATGGGGCAACTGACAACTGACACCCAGGAAAAAGCCAACCTATTAAATAGGTACTTTGCGTCAGTCTTTCATCAGTCCCATGGGACGCCCATGCCCGCTACAGGGCCGGGAAGTCCGGGTGAGGGTGATCCCCTGCCCTCCATTAATGCTGACTTTCTGAAGGAACATCTTGAGAAGCTGAATACCTTCAAGTCAGCTGGCCCTGACAATCTTCACCCCAGGGTACTCAAGGAGCTGGCGAGCATCATAGCCCAGCCTCTAGCACGGATCTTTGAAAACTCTTGGCGCTCTGGTGTAGTGCCCGAAGACTGGAAGAAGGCCAATGTGGTGCCTATCTTCAAGAAAGGGAGGAAAGTGGATCCGGCTAACTATAGGCCCATCAGCCTGACTTCTATCCCGGGGAAGATCTTAGAAAAGTTTATTAAAGAGGCCATCCTTAATGGACTGGCCGACACCAACACCTTAAGGGATAGCCAGCACGGGTTTGTTGCGGGTAGGTCTTGCTTGACCAATCTCATTTCCTTCTACGACCAGGTGACCTATCACCTGGACAAGGGAGAAGAGATTGATGTCATATATCTTGACTTCAAAAAAGCCTTCGATCTGGTGTCCCATGATCGCCTCTGGGAGAAACTGGCCAATTGTCGCCTTGGGTCCTCCACGATCCGCTGGCTGGAAAATTGGCTCCGGGGTCGGACCCAGAGGGTAGTAATCGATGGAAGTCACTCATCGTGGTGTCCTGTGACCAGTGGGGTCCCCCAAGGCTCTGTCCTTGGACCCATACTGTTCAACATCTTCATTAATGATGTGGACACTGGAGTCAGAAGCGATCAGAACTGGCCAAGTTCGCCGATGACACCAAACTTTGGGGCAAAGCATCCACACCAGAAGACAGGCAGGTTATCCAGGCTGACCTGGACAGGCTCAGCAAGTGGGCGGACGAGAATCTGATGGTGTTCAACGCCGATAAATGCAAGGTTCTCCACCTTGGGAAAAAAAACCCGCAGCATCCTTATAGGCTCGGCAGTGCTATGTTGGCTAGCACTATGGAAGAAAGAGACTTGGGGGTCATCATTGACCACAAGATGAACATGAGCCTGCAATGCGATGCGGCGGCTAGTAAAGCGACCAAAACGCTGGCTTGCATCCATAGATGCTTCTCAAGCAAATCCCGGGACGTCATTCTCCCCCTGTACTCGGCCTTAGTGAGGCCGCAGCTGGAGTACTGTGTCCAGTTTTGGGCTCCACAATTCAAAAAGGATGTGGAGAAGCTTGAGAGAGTCCAGAGAAGAGCCACGCGCATGATCAGAGGTCAGGGAAGCAGACCCTACGATGACAGGCTGAGAGCCCTGGGGCTCTTTAGCCTGAAAAAGCGCAGGCTCAGGGGTGATCTGATGGCCACCTACAAGTTTATCAGGGGTGACCACCAGCATCTGGGGGAACGTTTGTTCACCAGAGCGCCCCAAGGGATGACGAGGTCGAATGGTCACAAACTACTTCAAGATCGTTTCAGGCTGGACATAAGGAAGAATTTCTTTACTGTCCGAGCCCCCAAGGTCTGGAACAGCCTGCCACCGGAGGCGGTTCAAGCGCCTTCATTGAACACCTTCAAGATGAAACTGGATGCTTATCTTGCTGGGATCCTATGACCCCAGCTGACTTCCTGCCCTTTGGGCGGGGGGCTGGACTCGATGATCTTCCAAGGTCCCTTCCAGCCCTAATGTCTATGAAATGGAGTACTGTGTCTGGTTTTGGGCCCCCTGCTACAGAAAGGATGTGGACAAACTGGAAAGTCCAGCAGAGGGCAACAAAAATGGTTTGAGGGCTGGGGAATATGATTTATGAGGAGAGGCTAGAGAACTGGGTTTATTTAATCTGAAGAGAAGTCTAAGTGTGGATTTAATTGTAGCATTCAACTACCTGAAGGGTGGGGAGCTTAACTGTTCTCAATGATAGCAGATGATAGAACAAGGAGCAATTAGGCCTGTGCGAAGTGGCTAGTATTCGCTTTGGATTTGGCCAATTTGGGGGAGAGTGATTCGATTTGGTGATTCAAATCACTGTCCCAAATCGATTTGGCTGAATCTGATTCGGAGATTCGGCTGCTGCCAAATCTCCAAATCACCCAGGCCCCAGGTCCCCTCCCCCCTCCTCCAGCCCCTACTCCCCGACCTGCTACTTACCAGCATGGAGTCCGGCTCCATCTCCCTGCTGCAGTGGGTGGGGACTGCCCAAATCATCGAAGCTCTTTGAATCTTTTCTGAAGATTTAGAGAGCTTCAAATCAATTTGGACCTTTTTATTGGTCCCCTGATTCGATTTGGATTTGGAAATTCAGCCACTGAATCAAGCCGAATCTCCTCCAAATTGAATCACCACCCAAAGCTTCGCAAAGCCCTAGGAGCAATGATCTCATATTGCATCAAGGGAAGCTTAGGTTAGATATTAGGAAAAAACTCTCTCACTAGGAGGGTAGTAAAACACTGGAACAGGTTACCCAAAGAGGTTGTGGAATCTCTATCCTTGGAGGTTTTTAAGACCCAGCTAGAGAAAGTCTTGGCTGGGATGATCTAGTTGGGGATGGTCCTGCTTTGAGCAGGGGGTTAGATGAGATGACCTCCTCAGGTCCTTTCCAATCCTAATTTTCTATAGTTCTATCTCGCTTCAAAATTGGAGTGTGCCATTAATCACATCTTTTCTGACCTTTTTCCTCTTATTCTTTTCTCACATTGAAACTTCTTATCAGGAGGTTGGCTTGAACTGGCAGCAAGTTACAAAAGCCTGACTGCTCAAGTGAGAATGACTCCAAGAGGAACTGCCTGATACTGTCACATCAACCTCCAACTCTTTTTATCCCTGTGGATGTTTAGAGCATAGATCAGTAAAACATTACTGCACAAATGAGACTGGGGCCAGATTGCAGTCCCACCTAGAAACACTGTGCCATATGTGTGTAGCTCTAGGCTCACCCACACTATCCCCTTTTGCAGCATATAACAAAATCAGGAAGTATTTGGCTTTCAAATACAGCAAACAAAACCAAAGCCAGTCCCAGTTTAGAGTTATCTGGATATCTTCATGACACTTCTACTTTGGTTTAATGAAAAACCTTAAGTTTCCCTCCTTTTCTCCAACAATGCCCAAGTAAATTTGGTACTTGTGACAGCACTGGACTTTTTGACAGCAGCCAATGCTTTTTGATCCTCACCAAGAATGCTTCCTTTTGTTTTCAGGCTCTGGCTCTCTTTAGAGTTATATCGGGCTATGTGGTATTCAGCAGCCTTACACTAAATTGCAAGTTCTATACCCCATTACTGGTGCTCCAAGTCACCCACTTGCTGAATTATTAGCCATAATTTAAGATCCCCCATGTTACAACACAGCAGGTAAAATATTAATTTAAGATTAATAATGTCAATGTTAGTATGTTTCAGCTGTTTAATTATGTAATAGGACATTCATCTGATAACTTATGCTATGTTTAAAAAACATCTATAAAACAGCATCTACTTCAGCATTTTTGTCCTAATTTAATGATAAATGCACATTTTAGGAATACTCAGAGAACTCATTAAATTTCAATTTCTTGGTATCATTTTCAAGGGCCTGTTTCCATTGGAATGACAACATGTGGTAAAATGGCCATTTATAATAAATGAATGAGCACAGGTCAACCCTTGCTGGGAGATTTTTACCTCTGTCTGCACTCTCATTTTAATGATTTTCCTTAGCTAACCTATATTCCCCTCTTTCAAAACATACAAATGGAAGGTGCCAGGTAATTAGGCAGCTCTGCTTAGACTTTAAAGAATCTTTTCTACTAAAAGTAGAATATAGGCAATAAAAATTAGAAATCCCCAACTCACAATGCACAAGTCTTATTCTATGGCTTTTTAGTTGAAGTAAATCAAACAAGCATGGGAAATTAAAAGGTTTTATGAGATATAAAGGACATAAGAAATAGCACTACATGAATTTGAATATACACTTATTTCATAGTATAAGGATGAATTCAAAGCAAGTGAAGAATCTTTTCCCAATATTTATTACTTATTAATGCAATAATCCATACTTTTGGGAGTCAAATACAGTACCTCATATCTTGGATAAGTGAGACCCTCAATGTTGGCAATGTAATTCCTGTGTCAGACTTCCTTCTTTCTGGTCCCAGGGCAACTGTAGAGGGGGAAAATGAATTAAAACAGAATTACAATACTTGGATTCAGTGATTTCATCCGTCAGGGGCCAGGGCAGTAGGCCAGACAAATTTCTCCCAGATGACCCCTGAATGGGCCTGGCTCCTAGCAACCTAGCTATCTTAAGCTGGTCTCAGTTGCCTGCTTGGGTTGTGGATGTTTGCTTATAAATAACAGCGTGGGAAGTGCCCAGGACGTTACTCAACAGGACAGATGTCTCCATCTAGCCTGGGGCTTCTGACTCTTTGTTCCTACCTGTTTTCTAGTTCCTGGTTCCTATTTGTTTCCAGTTTCTTGGGTCTTGCTCACTGAATTCCTACTTCCTGGCTTCATCCTTGTTCTTGATTTCTGCCAGCTGGTTCCTGCCGGCTGAGTACTTGTTCCAGCCTGCAGCCCAAAACCATTTGCTCCTGACTCCAATCTAGACCCATGCCTTCTGATAACTAGTGATTGCCCATGTCTCAGTCCCACATAGCTATAGCTGCCTGCTCCAAACCTCCCTGACTAGTGACTCGAGTCTGGGTCCCTGTGTCCTGTTCCTGACACCACCCATATGCCCCCTCTCACTCTGGGCTTGTGGTTCTACCCAAGATCACCACCTACATCCCAGCCCCTTACAGACTTTGGCTTCCTGACCCACCTGCCCTTGATCCCAAGATTACTTGGGGTCCTAGGTTCCCTCACCTTGCCTGTTCCTGATCACCTGGGTTGTGACCCTCAGATGGTCAAGTCCTGACTACCTAAGAGCTGGTCTTCCCCCGACATCTACATGCAACTGTAGAAGACATCCTAAACCAGGGGCGGGCAATTATTTTGGGCGGAGGGCCACTTACCAAGTTTTGGCAAGCTGTTGAGGGCTGCATTTCCCTCTCTGGCACAGGGAAGCAGGAACAGCCCCATGGTCTCAGGCCAGAAGCCTCTGCTAGGCAGAGGTTTCTGGTTGTGGGGGGCAGGGCTGGATAGGCCTTACTGCTGGGTCCTGCCACCAGTTTCCTCTGAGCCCTACTGCCCCTGGGTCCTGTCATCTTTGACAGGCAGCTAGGATCAAATAAATATTAATTTTCTAAATTTTTTAGGGGCCCCATGGGCTGGATAGAATGGCCTGCCAGGCCGGACCTGGCCCCTTGTCCTAAACTGACAATACTAACAAGTGCAAGGTACTGCACCTGGGGAGGAAGAACCAGCAGCATGCCTATAGGCTGGGGAACTCCCTCTTGTCAGCACAGAGGCAGAAAAGGACTTTGGAGTCATTATTGATTCCAAGATGAACATAGGCTGCCAATGCGAGGACGCAGTCAGTAGGGCCAACTGCACCTTGTCATGCATCCACAGATGCATCACAAGCAGGTCCAAGGAGGTGATCCTCCCCCTCTATGCGACACTGGTCAGGCTGCAGTTGGAGCACTGCATCCAGTTCTGGGCGCTGCACTTCAGGAGGGATGTGGACAGCATTGAGAGGGTCCAAAGGAGGGCCACTCACACTCACAAAAGAAGGCTGAGAGGGGATCTGATGGCCATCTATAAATTTACCAAGGGGGCTCTCCCTTGGTAATGGGAGAGATCCTGTTCCCCCGAGCACTACCAGGAGTAACCAGGAATAATGGCCATAAGTTGACTAAGAGTAGGTTCAGGCTGGACATCAGGAAGTACTACTTCAGAGTCAGGGCAGTTAGGATCTGGAACCAACTTCCAAGGGAAGTGGTGCTTACTCCTACCCTGGGGGTCTTCAAAAGGAGGCTAGACAATCACCTAACCAGGGTCATTTGACTCTAGCATTCTTTCCTGCCCATGGCAGGGGGTTGGACTTGATGATCTGCTCAGGTCCCTTCAGACCCTACTAACTATGAAACTATGAAACCACTGACAACTGCTACAGTTACAAGCATATTTAGGGCTGTTGCTCTGCAAAGTGTTTTCCAATTTGTTTCCATGTTATCTAGGTTACTTTTTCTTGCATTAAACCAAGGACAAACATAGAGATTTAAGATGAATCATCTAATGCCTCCTCTTTTGCATATAAAATATATGCATGTTAATCTGTTCCAGAATGACTTATTTGATAAAATTCTTGACAGTTAAACTTGTACAACTGGAGGTGCTTTATTAATTTAACAAGAATTAAGACCAGCATATTAGATGCTAAGAATATTGAGGATTTCTGAACTCTGGTATTGTAAGACTAATTTGCAAGACTTGCTTTGCATTCTGGACTTTGTGCCTGCCAGTCAGATGGCTTGATGGATGCCCATTACTCATAGATACTAAAAAGCTTTAGTGAGTAAGAGACAAGTTTAACCATAGCTACAGCCTTAGAGCTAATCCTGAAAGATGTGTTCCTTCAAATCTGACTTGTGGCATATGAGCAAGATCTCGGAATGGTGATAATGAAAAACATGCGACTCCTTTCCCAAAGGTTAGTGAGCTGCCAGGACAAAGGGAAGAACCATATGCTTGTATACAAATATTAACATCCTTATTACTGTAAAGTATTTTGTGAAGTGCATTGGTTCTGTCCTAAAGGGAAACCTGGATCTCACCTCCCACCCCCTAGTGTTTTATGAGCTGGGTACACCCTGAAAGAGAGAGATCAAACCCCAGGAAGACAACATTAATTCAGCTGAAGCATTTATAGAAAACAATACTCAAAAACAACAGTAATGCAGGGAAGTTCAATGCCATCTGAAAAAGGCATCTTACACATTGGCAGGTGGTTTAATGGCCTTAGAGTGCCAAAGTAAAGGGAATTCTCACTAGGCATGCACTATGAGCTTGGACTGGCCAGTGGAGATCAGTACTGAAGAATTAAGTCTTATCCTTCCTTCCTCCTAGCCTAAGATAGCTTGTATTCACCTAGGAAGATACATGTTTAGGGATTCCAAACTCAATGTCTTGAACAAATAAATAAATAATGATAGGTTATTTATAGGCATGAATGCTACATTTATAAATATTAATTACATTTAACATAAGAGTCCAGACCAATGTTCCTGGTTACATATCCTCAGATACTTATATCTGATAGGTTTTTGTGTATAATGCTCTATTTTCTGGCAAATTCTCTTTAAAAAATGATTAGGAAATGCATCCTATACCAGGTCAAAGCTCAGACACCTGATATGCAATTGGCCAGTAGGTTCCATTACAGTCTAGAACAGCAAAGTTCATCCTCTGAGCATAGGTAGGACAATTTTCATAATTTATTAGCTGGGGTAATAAGCAGGTTATGGATGAGACAGAAACATCTGCTTTTGTAATGCTGTTTCAAGAAAAAAGATATAAAAAGATTTCAGGCTTAGCCTACCTATACACATGCTCATTCGCGTTCTGATTAGAACACGTCTGAGCAGGCTCAATTAACCTAGTTCTAATCAGAACACTCCAGCATTGCCTCATGGTCACGTATATTAAGCCCTCCCTTCCCCGCCCCCACATATTTTAAAATGGCCATGGGGGTGCTTTATCTAAACCTCATCAAATGAGGTTTAGATAAATTGTCTCTCATCCATTTTTAAACACGGGGGAGCTTAATAAACTTGAGAGTGAGCCATTTTAATTAGAGTGGTCATCTGAGAACTGCTCTAATTAAAATTCTTCCCCCCCCGCAAAACACACGTATAGATAGCCTTAAATATCTTATAGAAAATCTACAGTAATACAGCAATTTTAATGGGTATTTAAGGAATATGATAAGACAAACTGGAAAAATATTAGTATCTCAAGTTGACTCATGTTTTCAACCACTTCAGAAATGTTACCACCACCTAACAGAAGCTTATACTCCATTTCATACCTTATTTATTGTTTAGTTTGAGGTAAAATGGAACTAAGGGAAGCATAGCTGATGATTTTCCTGAAGGTGAGAGTTAGTATAGCATGATATATGGAAAATACTATATTTGGCTGAGAGGTCAAGTAAATTTCAGAAAGATCTCAAAATTAAGTGTGACAACAATTATCACCAATACACTGATAATACAAAAGTAACACAAAGTGCTGTTGGTCTCAGTCCTACCAAAATTAACCTCACTCAGTGGTGCAAGATGACATATGGAGAGTTCACTCTCCTAAATACTCACTTGGCGACTCTGCATTATGTTCTTGCTTCTCTTCCCTTTCTTGGTATTGAAGCAAATGGGACCACAAAGCAGATTTCCCCTGGAAACAGAGCATTCAGTAAAGCTTAAAGAGCAGGGAGGAGGATGTCAAAAGAAAAACGGTGATGGTTTTATAGATCGCAGTTTGTTGATTTAATAGATCCAGAAGATCAGTGTGAAGGTTGTTTTTCAAGTCCTTTGCTCCTAGATTAAGGGCACCTACACGCAAGCAGCAAGGCTCATAATTACAGCATGGTAATTACTATGCTTCAGCAGACTCCAATGCTTAAAAATGGCAGTGGGGGTGCTTTAACTAAATCTTGTCAAATCAGTTTTAGTTGAAGTGACTTTGATGCTATTTTTAAGCGCAGGGACACTGATACACGAGATGCTCCAGGTGCTTTAATTAGAGTCACTATCAGAGCCGCTCTAATTAAAGCGCCCCCCTTTCCTGCCCGCTCCTGGAGCACGTGTATAAATGACCCATGAGACCAGGGAATAGGAAAGGACAATCCCAATTTATCACTCTCCTACAAATCATGTAGCCTTGCCTGGCTCCATTGTTCCTTTCCTCCATGTTCTTACCCCAGCCTTCTACTCCTGAGGGTAAAGCTAAAAGTATTATTTTATGACATTATGATTACAATTGGTGGAAAGATGCTCTTCAAAGTCTCAAGAAAATCTTAAGAGTTGACTAGCTTACTCAAAGTGTTTAGATAAACTCAGGCCTACTTAGAAAACCATGCGTTATTTATATGATAGAGGGATGGATTACAATATATACTTTTATTATGTACTAAATGCCATAATCTATAAAGTGCCTTCTTAAAGTTATCGACCTGTTTGACTTGTAGTCCATGGCTCCAGATTCTTTCCAACAGGTCACAAAGACTTGCAATCAGTGTGTTTTCCTCCAGACCTGTTATGTTGGCCTCTCCATGTCCAAGCTCTACTGCTTCGTGGCCCATCTTCTCTACCAACATACGTTTAGTCTAAAAGACAAAATGTACAGAGAATGTCATCCAACAGACTCTGAAATTTGCCAGATTAGCCAGTTTTTAAGAGTACATTTTCTGGATCGAAGTCATACAGTGTGTCTTGAATTCTGATTAGTGTTTCTACTTCCAAATAAAAGAAAAGAATTAAATGGACAGTTTCCAAATAAAGTTTACCATCAGGAATTTTAAACCCCATACACTCTGACTCATGCAAATACATGTAGATGTTAAACTGTTCCTATACAGAGGGCTTTTCTAGCAATCCCAAGAAGAAAGTTCTACTTCAGTAGCCTACACAACAATTGCACAACCTGGACAGTTTCTCTTGAACGGATAGAGACTCCCAATATTTGTTAGAGCGCGAATCACATTTTAATAGAAATTATATGGACACTTTTCCTCCTATTTGTGATCAAGCAAATTACACCTTTAAACAAAAGAAATGCCATGCTGGGTCAGACCACAGGTTCACCAAGCTCAGTACCCCATCTCTCTTTCAATGGCAGAGTGTGGATGCTAACAGAAATCATATTAATGCAGGGCCTATTCAGACTACTCTTTCTCATTCCTCTTCTCTTCTAGCTTTGCAGGGTTCAGAGGCCTAGGAATTTTTAATTTGGCTAGCTGTTTCTTTCCCATTTAATTTCTGGAACAACCAAACAACTGCATATGTGGAAACATAAATACTGAAGACAGTAATCTTTTTGTTCCTTTTCACACAGTTTAGCACCTGGAAATTACAAGATGGAAGAGCTTCTATTTAGTACTCCTTTTGCCATTACAGGGTATGTCTACACATGCTTTTAGCACGCAGCAATAAATTCTGCTGCATATCATGTTGGAGTTTATTGCTTCAGGGCATACCAGCAGAACATGAACCCCAGACCACAGCACATTGAGCCAAGTCAGAGCAGCCCCAGCTAGCAGAGGACCCAGGGTGTCAGCCTGCGAGCCTGGGGCTTCTCCAACTTGGTTCAACATGCTGTGGAGGGGCTGGCTGGGGCACAAGGGCAGGCAGCCCCCACACTGAAGTACCCTTGTGCCCCAACCAGCCACGTCAGCATCTACATTTGCCTTGTTGCGGAGCAAAAAACACCACAGCAGGATAGTACTTGTATTTACAAGTACTACTTTGCTGCAGAGTTTATTAGTTTCATTGAGTTCATAGACATTAGGGGCTGGAAGGGACCTTGTGAGATCAAGTCCAGCCCCCTGCCATAGGCAGGAAGTCAGCTGGGGTCAAGTGATCCCAGCAAGAAAAATATCCAGATGTTCTTTGAAAGAGTCCAGAGTAGGTGCTTGCACCACCTCTGGGGGAAGTCTGTTCTAGACCCTGGACACTCGCACCATAAAGAACTTTTTTCTTATGTCTAGTCTAAATTGGCCTTCCTGGAGTTTATGGCCGTTAGACCTTGTTATCCCTTGGGGAGCTCTGGTGAACAGCTGTTGTCCCAGGTCCTGATGTACCCCTCTTATATAATTATAGGCTGCTACCAAGTCCCCCCTGAGCCTTCTTTTCCAGACTGAAGAGTCCCAGATCCCTCAGCCTAATAGCCCCGGACGCATAGACGTGAGACGTTTACTGCAGAGCTAATTAGTCTACTCTGCAGTAAATGTCTCGTATAGATACGCCTCAGGAAACCACCTCTAGGGATTAATTCTTTAAAATCTCTAGGCAGAGAGTTACCAACAAACTCTGTGGGAAAAGCTGCAGGACAAGATTTATAACAAAGCTATTAATTAATGGTAGAATACACTTAAAAAGAAAGGTTACCTTCATACGGCATTCTTTCAGTAACCCCTCCACAAATTTCCAGTTTGTTTGAGCAATCACAGCTGGAGAAAGGTCCGAGAGTTTGGGCTGCCTTAAATTTTTTCCTAAACTTCTTGCCTCCTGCATATATTTCTACAAGAAGCAGAATTAGCATAAGTACGAAAAATGATAGTCTCCTAATTTCATTAATCCTAGAGAAACAAATGTTGATATAAAAAGTCAGTGAATTATCTTAAGTGTAGGAGTGGAGAAGCATAATACTTTCACTGGACAGCAGAAGCAGCAAGAGATTTTTCTGTGCAATATATATGCAGTAGCAGCAGTCAGACAAGAACTAACTAGAGAACTGTGGTGTTAGCTACTTGATACAGAGTTAGTTGAAGTGTTAATAACTAAGATACCTTCAGTCAGCAAATTCAGTTAATCCAAAACTGCACTAAACATGTCTTTCCATTGTTGTTTGATTTTTGCTAGCAAAAAATTAAAATCACTTGACCAATCTGATCTGATTATGGATGTGAATATAAATCCCAGTAAAGTAATTTTAATGACTGTTTTGCTTAGACCGTCTAGGTAGAAAAACTGTATAGGATAAGGAGGACAATTTAAAAAGATTAACTTTCTTGAATCATTGGCAACTTTAAAAAGTCCACTTAATAAACAAAAATGATTTTTAACTCTTTTTGGAAAATGATATTAATGCAAACTACAGAGAAAAAAAACATTGGCCCTTTAAAAAAAAAGATTTTCCAAGTTAGATGTTAAATCCAACTCAGTGACTAGATTTTTCGGAAGAGTGAAACACTCTCTGTCATTAATGGTCAACATCATTTTTAAAACAATGCCCCATGTTTAATTAACGCAATGTACTTCTTTGTAAAAAAAAAAAAAAAAAGCAAGTCAAGCACTTAAGCTTGGCAAATAATAATAAACTGTTGGAATGCTGCTGAATAAAACAGCTTAAAAACAGTGCTAATGTTCTTATATTGTAATAAGCAAATGCTTCTCATATCCATGCAACACCTGAGACTTCCTCACTTGTTTCCATCTAGTAAATGATGCTTGTGCTTAAGGTCCTATATGCTTCAACCACCATTCAGCTATGAAATGGGATGGGTGATGATGATTCCTTCAGAGAGACAGTGCTGCTGTTTAACTGGACTGCTGGGCTTTCTCTTGAGTTAGGCAGTATACAATGTCTTTACAGCACTCAGACATTCCTTTCTTGGCAGAAACAGATATTGGACTAAGTTGCTTAGTAAGAACAAAACCCAAACTCATATTGCTGCAAGTTAAAATTTATTATTTAAAAAGGAAGATCATTGCAAAATGCAAATCTGGACATATCAGCTAAGAATCAGTTTAAACAAACTTTTCGAATGGAAGATAAAAAATGTTTACCTAATTAAAACCCAAGCACATTATGGGTGAATAAGACAAGAAAGGAGAAAGCCAAATGAAAAGCTGAGACAATGTTTTAGGCAGTAATATCAAGTTGCAACTGAATGAAAGTATGCTGTTCAAACAGTAACCTCAAAATATCTGTTTAATTTAATTAGTGCCAAAATTCACATAATTAAATATTGAAAAAGTAAAGGAACTAGCTAACAGAGAGATCTATTAGGGGAAAGGAAATAAAAAAAAATCAAAGTGCAGTTATAATCTGAAGATTGTGTCTGCGTGGGCATGCCCACCTATATGTGCATGCACCGGGGGGAAACAGACGAACATATTCCGTTTCTTGCAGATCATCAAGCCATATCTGGTTATTACATTGACAAACATTTTTAATTCTGCTAACTTTATTGGTCTTCGAAGTTTTATAGAAAAGCCAGTGAATCAAGTACTATTACCTTTACTGGCAACCTAATTTTGCAGATTGGGGGGAAAAAAAAAACATGCATTGAATTTGAGACCTCAAGCTGAGTGTATAAGCCTAACAATAAAAATAAGTCTTAAAATGGTAAATTTAGCTAGGGTGTGAATACACAACCCCATGACTCCATTTCTATAGTATTTTTCTGAGTATAACCACACTTTATTAAACTACAGAGGTGAGTGCACATTCTATACTAAGGAGAGGTTCCAGTGATGTTGAAGGCAGTGACTTTGTTCTAACAACAACTCAAAGCAGCTTTCAGCAAGAGCAAACAGAACATACCAGACAGCATTCAGAGAACGATTTTTTAGGAGGTCGTGCAGGAGGGGGTGGTCCCTGATCCCACTCCCAGAATGCCATTGAGTTCTGACGAATCAAAAGCTCCTCCGATGGCTAAGAGGAGGCAGATACACCAATGGCAGAAAAAACAGAGAGAGGAGACAAAGCAAAACAAGCATGCATATGATCCACAGCAAAAGTAAAAAAGGAAAAAGTAAATACATGACAAAGCACTGAGAGAGTTATGTTGATACACAAGACAACATTTAGAACTGTATTTGTTGTCACATGAAAACTAGTAATAAACGTTTACAAATGCCATTTTGCTTTGTTTCTGTGAAAAGATGTTTGAACTAGAGTCTAAGAATGGCAATTTTATTTGTTTTTTTAATGGCAGATGACAACACTGGTCAAGTTTAGTCAGTAACATTTGTAGCAAAACAGCACAAACGTTTTATTTTTCCTAATGATGAATTAAAAAAATACAGATAGATAAAAATATGGAAAGAAATATATTTTTAAATGAAGGAGAAACTTAAGAGACAGGAAGAAAAGCACAAGCAATTAAGGATTACAAGATGTGTGGGAGTTTTCAAGCTTTAGGCACAAGTAATAAAACAAACTCTTACTGTTTCAAATGAACTTTCTAATAAGGGTAGTAATCTATTCAATACACAACAATACAAAGCCTCTACAACAAATCCTGCCTCAGTCTTGAAACAGTCCCTTTGTTTATCTTAAGGTCTCTACAAAAGTTAAATGCATCATACTGGACTGGATCCTGCAACTGGCTTCACAAATGTAGAGACAGGATTGGGTTCCAGAGCAGCAAATAAGCATATGAAATACTGAACTAAATTGTGACCCTGTATTATAAACAGCTAAATAAGATAGAAAAATTAAACCGCAAGTCTGTTTTCTTTCCTTTCATTTGCACACTGCAGTATTTGCAATCATGAACTTTCAGGTATGATAACAGTCCAACCAATATATACCAATTGCAAGTTCCTTTATAATTTTTTCCTTAAAAAACAATATCCCGTTACAATACTATGGAGATAATTTTGAATATTTTAAATGTGCTTTTGATACAAACATCTGCAATGTCCAGGAATCTAATAGTTACAAAGATGAATGCAAAACTTATGGCAGGTATAAATCAAGTTACATTCATGTTCTGGGTTCAGGTCTCCTGGTGCCATCAGATAACACCACCTACCTCTCTCAAATCATTGTCCAGTCCAATATGTTCCGAATGTTGTCTGAGGCGATCTTTCCTACGTTGTGCTGTAGCACTTCGACTGGCCCACCGACTGAGAAATTAAAAGGGGAGGAAAAAGAAATAATGTAACACAGGAAATTGCATGGGAGTTTTTGTCAGTAGCTACAGAATCTCTCTAAGAACTGAGCCTCATAAAGCAAAAACATGTAACAACACTTGCAAACTGTCATAAATATTTGTGTTCAGGAATTTTTAGTATCTCTGAAGGTGCAGGTCATGGTGCAAGACAAACTATGAGCCTGGGCTTGGGTCGGGGCCAGGTGGCAGACTGCCAAATGTTACTGCTAACTGGCTGACAGCACTGTCCAGGAGGAGTTAAGCTGGGTGGGAAGTATATGGCTGTTCAGTCTCCCGTGAGCAACAATCTTGGTTGTTCCCGAGTTATTTTTTTTCTGGAGCAGCCATTTTTGCTCTGGGAGAAAAAGCTTTAATGTCTATCCACTTTTGTTTGCTACTGGGAGAACAGCAATTCTCTCAGTAGAAACATGGGGCATTTTTACATGTGCTCCTGCCACAGCTCAGGGAGCTTTTAATTAGTGAGCCGTACTAATTAAAAGCACCTGGCACAGAGTCTGGTGCAGGTGCATTAGTGGTGTAGTGCACGTCCGTGTTGAGAAAATGGCAGCAGCATGCTTTACACTAAAGCACATAGAATGTGTTTTAGTTCAAAGTGTACCTGGACTTGATGCAGCACCAGGCGTGTCAATTTATGTGGATTTCTAGTGCATCAGAGCAGACCTGCCGCACGTGTGTAAATGCCCTGAATGTCTGCCCATGGCCCTAATCAGAATTCTGGTCAGGAGCCACAATTAAGCTAGTTTTTAACCCACTCTTTTAGGGAGGGGAAGTGGGGAGGAAGATAACATATACTTATAGCATTTGAAAAAAAATGAACTCCAAATGTTTAAGATGAGATGAATGCTTCCATGTATTATGGGTTACTTCCTAGACAGGATTCTGGCCAGCATCTCTACTAACTCTTCCATTTACAATAAATCAATATCATCTTGTAACTGTTTAATGCACTTCACACGTTTTACAAATCTTTACACTTTGAACCAATTACCTTTGGCCAAGAAAGTTCAGCCAAGGATAAAGAATCAATAACAATCAAAGCATGGCCAGGAAACAGAACATGACTGTTCTTTTTAAACCAAGTCTGTACAACTTAACCAAAAGGGTTGGAATACACTGTTCTTAAAGTCTTTTGGGATTGCAATACATTTTTCAGTTTGCTTATGTCACTATATATGACATATATATCTACAGGTATCTAATGAAGCATTAACCAAGTTTTTATTCTTTATTAGCAGTTTGGTAATTAAATCGGAAAATCATTGATATCCTGGTCTAACATGCTCAAGTATTACAGAAGAATACATACAAAGTAAAGCCATGTGGCTGTATCCACAGAATTTTTCCACAGAACGTTGTTTGTGGGAGCAGGGAGTTGCTTTTGGTTATCATATTTAAAAAATGTTGTTATTTTAAGGAAGCTTCTAACTTTCTAGCTGCACCATCCTCTACTTAGTCATTTCCGCACATTTCTCTCTTGCACTTGCACTGAAAGCAAAAAGTGCAACACAGCTTTCACATAGCAACACCCATGGGCGACTGCTGCCACCTTAGCCAGGGTGAGCACATGCCCCCCTGCCACCAGTCCCACCCACCGAAGGGGGGGTTCCCCCATGAGCGATCCAAAAGCTGCTGCAGCGAGTGCAGCGATCGGCCGGTGCTTGCAGGGAGGGTACTGGCGGTCCCGCCTGCCCCCCCTGCCCATTGCCTAAGCAGCGAACATGGCCGTCAGGGGGTGCACTGGTGCTCACTGTGCACCCTCTATGCGTCACCACTGGCCACACCTTTCACTCACCTTTCCTTTCAAGCTATTTCTGAGAGGCCCTTTCTATCAAGGGAAACTGATCATAACAGCTTGTGTGAATGATGTTATTCTACAACAATCTAGTTTCCCAGGTAGGCACTTTATGCCAGACTAGAATGGTCTGCCAGACCTGAGCTTTTAACACTTTTCTTTCCTCCCCTTTCTCCCCTCCCCTCCTTTTCTACCCTTTGTCTTCCTCATTTCCAGCCATTCCCTTTTTCACAGACAGCATTTTTTCTACCTTGTAAAACTACTACAGTAGAGTCTCCCTAATTTACCTCTGGCTTTTTTTCTCCCCCTCCCTTCCATTTTCTACCTTTTGTTTTCCTAATTTCCACCTATTTACATTCTCACTGACATCCTGTCACACTTTTAGCTTCTTTCATTCCTTGGAGTCTCAGACCAGCAGAGACTCCCTATGCCTGAAGAACGGTGATTGCACCTGAAAGCTTGCACAGAACTTTTTTCCAACTACTCAGTTGGTCTGATAAAAAATATCACATCTACTCAAAGAACCTTGCCTGGCATGTCTATCCACCTGGACATTGCATTGTAGCAGAGAGCAATTCCAGAACAACAACTGTGGACTAGCTAATTGCACACATATTCTAGTCATTTTCCTCATGTAGACAAGCCTAGAACAACATGTCAGAGCCCATTAAAAGGTGGTAGACTGACAACTTTTGGAGATTTAGGTTTCTGTTTAAAGGTACAACAAATACAGAAACAGTAGAGAGACTCCACGTTTCCTCAACTGAGGAGAAATTACCCAATTCTGGCATCATCTCAATAGGCCTCTAGCCTGGTATTAAAGGCACACGTAAGGATGACAGAGTAGGGTTTTTTATGCTAATTAAATTGTTACTCCCACATACTATAAATAGATAAGAAAGACATCTATGAGCAAGGGCTAATTAAAGCCAAATGCAGTGGTGCTTTCTGTGATTCTGACACCAAATGGATTACAAAATGGAGGGAAATTACTAACCCTGAAATTACTGGCCTGTCAGCACCTACATTACAAGATGGTTATGACTTTCCATTGCTTTGTTGCACGATGGACTTGCATCAGTGAATCAGTGGGCAAGCAGCTGTTTCCTCATTGCTAATCAATTGAGCCAGTTCCTCTCTCAAAATGAGCATTTCTATCTTTACTAGTTTCTAACTAAAAAAAAAATCAGTTCCCTGTAGATGAAATTTCTGGAGTTTCATGTTTCTGTAGATTAGTTAAGGTTTAAAGAAATTATGCTATCAGTTTTCTGATGACCTATGATAACTTGTCAAAGTAGCTAGATAGGTTTAAAGATGACTCAGACAGTTAAGAGTAGTACCCCACTTAGATACTGCAATCTCTGCTTCTGTGGGCATCCTGTGCATTTTAGCAGTTATAGTTCTTTTGTATAATTTTACTCATTTGACTAAGCCAGGAGTTGTCAACCAGGAGTATGTGTACCCCTGGGAGTACTTGAACTGGTCCTAGAGGGTACGCGTGGGCAGGTGGGGACGGAGCGCTGCCGCCTCCCAAGAGCACGGCCAGGGTGGGGTGAGGGCAGCGGCGCCCCTCTGTGGGGTGGGGAAGCTCGCACACTGTGGTCACTGCCACTACACACCAGCCTGGGGAACTTCCCCGCTCCGCAGAGGGGTGCCGCTGCCTTCACCCCAGCCTGGTGAGCTCCCCTGCCCTGCTTCTTGGAGCCTGTGGCGCTCCATCCCTGCCTGCCTGCACGCCGTCCCCACTTCCCTTCTGTGTGTCCAGCCACACGCCACCCCCACACCCCACTCAGTATCTGGGTGCATGCTACCCTCTCCCCCCGCCAGCTTTTGGCCATGCACTACCCCCCGCCATTGTCCAGCTGCCAGGGGTACTTAGACTAAAAAAGGTTGAAAACCCTGGGACTAGGCGATTCCGAAACTTTCAGCTAGGACAACAGGACCCTCTCTCCCCTACCCAACTATAAATCATTCAGTGGTTGCCTACCCCTGGTCTGGGGCCTACCCTTGATGCTGTCATGGCACACCAGGAAGTTCTTGCTGCCTCACTCAGACGCTCTCTTGAGATGCTATACATCCTGGACACTGTCACACAGTTGGTTCTGACTTTGAAAACATCTTTTTTTTTCTCCCAACATTTGGCCTTCCCAATCAAGTTACGTGTAATTTGAGGGCATGTGGTATGCAAGAAAATATGCTACCAATACGAAGAAATAAGAATTTGTTGTGAGCATTGCACAAATGAAGGAACCAGTGGTAATGAACTGAAAACAGTGAATGTGTTCTACTGCTTATGCTGCTTTTGCCTTGTATACTCTTTCACATCAAGCATGCATTTTCTTCATCATTCCTGCCGTTTCCAATAACTGCAAAAATGAACGTTTAGACATAAGGAGGGTACCAAAGCTGTGTTTGTAGCTCAGAATATATATAAATAGTTAAATCGGGTATAAAAGTATACAATTATCTCGAAAATGTATACCAATGCTTTTGCATAAGTAAACATTCATCATATTGAAGGTAAAGGTGCCTAAAGACAAACTCTGAAAGTAATTTTACTTTTGTTATCCTGTTCTGTTTCTTGATTTCTCTTTTTTTTCTTATACTTTTATTTGCAGAAGATTCTCAAAGTGTGAAATTGCCATAAGTCATTTATGTAAATACTGGCTTTGACTCTGAAGAATGATAGTGACTTACCCCAATCATATGCTATATATTTTAAGATTTCCAAAAGAGTGTCAAAACACTTAAGTCACTAATATATTCCTGTGAGGAGTAAGCACTTCCTACTCCATTTCCGTTAGCATGTTCCTTTTGTTACCAGGAGACTTAGGGTAATGTTACTTTTAAAAATCACAGTATTTGAGCTAGAGTAATATACTGCTTGCTAATTCCACATAGGTTAGTTTCATCTACATTTAATTCTTTGTCTGTCTTTATTGGAGGTAGGGAAGTTTTTTTCTTCTTCCCAGAAAGACAGTATAGACTCTATTTTTAAAGTGTGAAGCTCATCAGAAAGTCGGGGGTCTTGTAGGCTACAACTAGTAATGAAGTAAGGCATTTCTGTTGTACCAAAATGTGCAGTGTCCTGACTTCATGAATACAGAAAGGATCAAACAACCAGCAATAGCTTCCTGCTTACAGCACCACACTGTAGTGCC